GGGACTCCACACAATAAAAAAAACAGGGAACAAAGAACAAAGAGTAAGAGGCTCCACACAATAAAAGAAACAAGGAATAGAGAATAGAAGAATTTCAATCTATCAGAAATAATTTCTAATAGGTTGAAACTCTTATTCTCTGTTCCCTGTTCCTTTTATTGTGTCCCTAAGAATTTCAAAAATCATGTTTTGTGGAATACACAGTTTCTGATAGGTTGAAATTCTTAAGCAGAAAGCACAGACTCTTGTATAATGCATAACGTATGAGGCATAAAAAAACGAATCAATCCTTTATTTCCTTCCTTTCCGTGAAATAAAGAACTCTGATTGGTTAGGTTCAATTTCTTATGCCTCATGTATCATACGTTATGCAAGAGTCTGTGTTCTCCGTTTTAAGCGGAGAGTTTCTTCGGGTTTTTTTCTTTCAGCTGGGGTTCAATTGTATTGCATAATTTGATAAAAGAAATGATAAAAGAAATGATAAAAGATCTAGCATTTACTTATAACGCGCTTATAATCGATGGCACAATAATTTGTAAAATAGATGTTAAAAGTTATAAAAAAAATTTATTTGGTTTTCTTTACGTATTAAAATATTGACTGTGCATCTTGAAACGTGTGAAAGTTACACAACTGAATAAATTTATCGTGTAAATTTATAAGTAACTAGTGAAATTATAAATATTCCAGTGAACTTTTTCACTTTTGTAATTTTAATCTTATTTCAAAATACATAATTAAATCTTTAATTTTTTAAAATAATATTCTAAAAAAAAAGATATTAAACTAAACAATTCTTTTCATATGTATTATTTCGACACGTAGGATAAAAATTTTTATTTATCTTAATATCTTTAAAATATCTGATTTTAATTATATTGTTCAAATTTAAAAGTAACACGAATATAGGTATTCAAATACAGGGCGGAATTTCTAAACAGGGCGGATTAATCAACGCGCGACTTTCATGTCGTGACTTTATTAGGTGCTCTTTAATGAAATGCTTGTGAGTCTACCATCTTACTTAACTCTATTACCTATGTCTATTGTTTGAAACTTCAAATATTTTTTTTTAACATAAATATTACTCGGTCTAATGATATTTTTATAAAATAGTAAAAAATGAATATCTGAAACGAGATAATTGTGCGAAATTATCAGTTTCTATTTCCGGCAGGTGTTAAATTTTTCTCCAAGTTTTATGTATATCTCATAATTTGCTACTATGAATGACGTGAATGATGTTCTGACAAACATATACGATACTTTATTACACTTACGATATCCGCACATTACAAATACAGAGTCGAAAGATTTGGAGGCAACGATTCTCAGTGGTGAAAATCGGATTTGTTTACTTTCCTGGCTTCTGACAGAGAAATTACCATCAATTGTCGCTCATTTGGGAAAGCTGAAAAATTCTGCTTTGGAAGGTATTTCTATTTTATTTATACAATTTAATGTTTTACATATATTTAACAGTTAAATTACAAATTATATTATCAATTCCCATTTTCAATGAATTTATACATGCAATAAAAAATTATATTTAAAAATGTGCCGTATTAATATATTAGAAAGTATATGTATGTCATTTTGTAGATCAGGTGTTTGAATATTACTCTCGGATTGGAATCTGCAACAACAAGGATATATTGCTGGTTTGTTTATAAAATATAGATATATTATGCTGTATTATATTGACATAATTGCTCTTATATAAAAAAATATTTATGTTAGGGTAAATGTTCCTTGAAGGAACAACTGCCAACTCTAAAATTATTGCTAGACTTTATGAAAAAAGTATATGTAAAACCTATTGCAAGTACAAATGAGACAGAAGCACTTATAGATACTTTTAAGGTATGTAAAGATATGATAATGTTGAATAATTATATTATTTTTATGAATGTATATTAATAATTATTGAAATATATATTTTTTAAACATTTTTAGTTGTGCACTAATGATATTGATCAGGCATCCTCTCTTTCTGCCATTAAACCAAAAATAATTTATGCAGAAGCTATTAAATATCTTGAAGAGAACGAGAGAAAAATATTAAATAATGATCGCGAAGAAATTAAAATTAACATGTCTGAAGACTTACACATAGAGGTAAAACAGGATTATATAATAAACAGGATTATTTAATAAAATTATAAATAATATATATAAATTATACTCATATTTTATGTAAAAATTAATATAGACTGATGATAGACTGGATAACGAAGAACAGACTGCATTGTTTGACAAAGAAAAAGAAAGGTTTATAGAAGCATTTCATACGGTTTCATCTTGGCCAGTGAAAATCAAAAATTTAGATAAAGATATTTCTGATTCTATTAGTTCAAACATTAAAAGTATATGCTCTGATTTTTCCTCTTTGAAAAAGGTTCGAGTTTTATCCACATTACTGCATTATTTTCACTATTTTCTCCAAAATGTATTTCCATCACACTTGCAGGTATTACAAGCAAAAGAAGAGTTATCTAATGTAAAATTAGCAAAGGAATTACCGAAGACTGTCGCACCTTTAAACGCAATTATAGAAGATATAGTCATTTGTAATGAGGAACTCGCAAATCTAATAAATGAATGATTTTATATGTATAATCATGTATGTAGGTTCATAATTATTTAGTGTAATTTATATTCTAAATATTAATATACAAAAGAATAGAATTGTCTATTTATATAAATAAATCCTAAACACATCATAGATATTAAAGAGATAGTATAGAAGAAGGTATACTTTAATAATAAGATTAAATAAGAACAATTATTTAAGTTTTTAACTTATGTATTTTATATTTGTCAAATACATCTGGCTGATAATTTAAGATCTAGGTCGTTCCTTCTTCTCTTTGTAAAGAGCAAGTAAAGAAACATTTGCAACCTTCACCACTTTAAATCTTACTCCAGGAATATCACCGACGGCATGGCCTTTACGACCAAAACCTGCCACTAGAACTTCATCGTTCTCTTCGATGTTGTTAAGACAACCGTCTCTTGGCACAAAGGCTGTAATCTTCTTTCCATTCTTAATCAGCTGTACCCTGACACACTTGCGAATGGCAGAGTTTGGCTGTTTTGCTTCTACTCCTCTATTGAATGATAAAATAAGTATCATAATTATGTGTATAAGTATCGTAATATCATTAAGTTACAACAAACTATACACACATGGAAATGTTATTAAAATTATTACATGAACATTATTACTTACACTTTTTCCAAGACAATGCCTTTAGCATGAGAGGCACCACCAAAAGGGTTAGCCTTCCATCTGGTTCCCAAATGTGCTTTTTTATAGTCCTTATCATTCCATCGTTGCTCACGTCTGTGGTTCACGTGCTTACGCGCCGTACGAAGACCTCTAGGTTTACCTACAACGCAAAGAAAATCTTACAATGAGGTTATATTCTATATTATATTTTTTCAAGCTCATAAAGAAAATTCTTTACATAGAAAAATGTTATATATCTATACGTTCAATATGAGATAAAATTATTGTATCCCAATACCACGATACTATATCTATATTCATGATGCATATCTGACAATAATTACTACACGTTTTCGATACATTGCACACTACATCGCATCAAGAAGAAAGGTACTACTTGTGCATTTATTGTTGAGCAAAAATTGTTCGGCAAAATTTTTATCGAAAGATTTTGGCTTTTCATAATTGTTATTTCTAAACTAATAATTTTTAAAATAATAATAAGAAATTTGTAACACAAACCCATCGTGTCGCGTGCGATTCACCACCGGAAAGAAGCAATCATCCATGAGCAGAAACGCAAATCGTAATGGTAAATTTAGGTTGTATCGTATGTCTAGACTAGGGAATTTTATGGAATCCGATATTCCAAGTCGAAATCAAACTATGTATTGAAGATTGAAATCGAAACCAATCAAGACAATTGGTCTTCTGTTTCTGCACTAGAAACTGAAGACTGTTCTAGAACTGACTAGACTGTTCTAGAACTTGCTTTAAATATCAAATGTATATCTATCTCACTTTAAGTTCCAGAAATGTACAGTTTAGCCACAGAAAACAGAACCTAATCAATAGGTCTGTTCGCGTTGTTTGCACTTTTGGCACTCGACATCTTCGTTTTCACTCTTTTTAAGGCAAAATATGTATTTATCTCATTTTAAGTGCAAAAATATTTGGGGATTTCATGCAACGCGAACAGACCTATTGAGATTTGACCAATCAAAACAATATGAGGTAAAATTCTTTTGTCCTCATTGGTTAAATTTCAATTTTCAATCTTCAATCTCAACATTTCTTTCTCATGCTGACGCTCGACAGCGCCCATTTTCAGTATCAAAAAAATAAGTCACGATCAATATTGACACTTGATATTTATCAATTTTTTATCACATAACTTATTTTGACGCCAAAAATGAGCATCGAGCGTTAATATGAAAAGACACTTTCAATCTTCAATGCTTAGTCTGATTTTAACCTTATGGAGAGATATGCACACCTCAAAGTGCAGCGTTCGGAGAAACGCTATTAAAAAAAATTACTATCATTCTATTTTCATCAATCATTAGATAAAAACGGACATAACATAGAGCACTAATAACGTCTTCCCGAACGTACTCTAAATTGGACATAGGATTTTTCTTTGTTATTTGTTTTCTTTATGTTTTTATTATTTAAATATTGACAATGAAAAAAAGCAGATATTTTACAAAATATCTTTATTAAATATTCTTTATTAAACACTTCATTACTAAGATTACTTGAAGCTTAACGAAAATATATTGGCATGTTTAATACAAATTATTTATGTTAATGTTAATTATTTATGTTTATACAAAAAAAAAAAATTATATTTCTCTAATCTCTACTGATTTATCTACAAAGAGAACAAATTACATAATAAATGTAATGTTACATATTTAATATGAATATAAATTGTTATATTTAAATAAATTTAACATTAACAAAGTTTTTAAGGATAACATATAATTTAGGTAGCTTTAAAGAAATCCTCTGAACTGGTTGTATAAATATGTCCTTCGCAGAGAAGAAAATCTAATATCTCATCTAAACGAGATATAATGTGTTTTGGTACTTGTGCCAAAATATCTCGTTTCTCAATACCACATTCAGCTTCATTTGCTGATCGAACCACCTCGAGAACTGCCACTTGTTCAGATGACATGCCACTCATTGTATTATCAACCATTAATGAACTATTAGAAGGTAAATTAGTTTCTTCTGCAGGTTTGCTAGCTTTCAGTATGACATACATAACCTCCATAAAGTGACATGTCAAATCATTCAAATCTTCCAGAGGATACATACGTAGAATCAAGACATGTCGTTGATTATTTTGTGTGCGTATCAGTCCATAAACTCGCACATATGTATTTATTTGTGTACAAGTGTTACATTCAGCAGGATTCTTATCTGCTTCTAGCCACATAATAGCTGTAAGAGTACCTATGCAAAATCACATTTAAGTAAATTTTCTGTTTTTTTAACAATAAAAGTAAATTTAAAATTTATATAATAATTTCTATGATTTAAAAATTTAAATCATAGAAATTATTATATATATTTTTAAGGTTTTTTAATTATACAGAAATTTTATGATTCTTATATGTAAGATCACCATGTTTTCTATTTATGAATATAAGAAACGTGATTTAAATACCTAGATATAAAAATAAAAACTTAATTAAAGGTATTAGCTTTACTTATATAGGTTGTGTACAAATGCATAAAAATTTATTCAGAAGATGAAATATTAATTTATCAAAACTTTTTGCATTTTGTAATTGTAATTGTACATGATTATCGTTAAGATCAAAAAAACATAAATAGAACCTGAAATAGAACATAAATAAAACATAGACACCTGTATCATCCTGGATATTGAATGAGATTTTTGTCGTGTCTTGCTCAATATGACGTACGATTCCAACAAGTGACAAAACGTTTACAGTTCTGCCGGCGATTTGCAGATCTCCTGTGGTGGACGTGATATGTTTTATTAATACGGGAACAATAGTCTTGTCATTTTGTGGCCCTTTCTTGCCGGTACCAGTACTCTGCATGCTATCGTTCATAAATCCACCTTCACCCATAGAACTTTCGTTATTCCACATGATTACAATGAGAATCACCAAGAAAACGTAAGTGAAACTCAAGAGACTGAAATTCAGCCAAGTTCAGCTTTTCGATAAATCTGAATATCCGAAAACAGAAGAGCTGCACTTACGCGCGCAAAATGTACATTAGAAACCCAGTTTGATGACTTCACCTTCATTACTATTAAGGCTAGGTTTTCACACGCTATGTCACTTAGGGTAAAATCACACGGTGCGGAAAAGAGCTGCGAAATAGAGAATACGTTATTGGCCTAGTTTCCACCGAGGGTTTAATCCGGATCAGAATGTAAGGCCGAGTTCACACCTTAATGGAAAAGCGGAAAGCGAAAAAGCGGAAGCCAATTAGAACTCGCGGAAAGACAGAAAAAGACAAGCGAAATGTACCGCCTACTACTATTGCGAGTTCCGATTGGCTTTCGCTTTTCCGCTTTCCGCTTTTCCGTGAAGGTATGAATCCGGAAGAACCAACTACAGTCGAGTATTTTTCTGTTACAGTCGAATGACAGGGGAATACGCGACTGTAGTTACATGAATATATATTTAAAAACTATTAACTTTATGTTAATAATTTGCTTTATTAAAATAAAATATAATTTTAATATATTTTTCAAATTGTAAAAACAATTATCACTCGTGTAGTATTTAATGTTTTACAATTATTTACCCTCTCATAACAATTTTTTGAACTGCTTTAACGCATTTACTATAATTTTTTCATATTGTGTAAACATAGCACAAAAAACTTGCTTGATAGAAAAGTGTGGAAAAAAGCACACTAAAATCGCATGTAATGTATCATTGTTTTTTTGATCTTGTAGTGTTTTCACTGATGTGTATCCCCCAGTCCCGCATTACACCAGTTGCGTGTTCCTTTCCGAGACGGCGTAGCAAAATCCCACTTCGTGCATAAAATTTACACACCGTAGTGTAAAGTCATAGAAACACGATACACCGAACGAGTTCGCTTACCACCAGCCATGGAAACACGGTGCACTGTCTGAAGTCACTATTGCATGGGCGATAGTACAACCAAGAGAAAACGTTATTTGTATCTATATTTATGCACTCAAATTTTGTCATTTTGCTTTATTTGTCTCGATATTACGCAATTCTATTATCTATATTAATCAGCATCAAATTATTTTAATCATCTTATTTTAATCTTAAACGACTGTTTATTACAAGAATAATGACACATTCGCTATTCCGCAACATTAAATGCGGAATAACGCTGAGTGATTGTTTCAATGACACATTCTCTATTCCGTGGTCCTGTTCAACTGTTGAGTGCGCTTAACACAACCAATAGATGTATTCAGAAGTATAATCATTGAGCTCATTGAGCTCTTGTTCTTATTCTTGTTCTTGTTATTATATCCTATTTGGTTTATATTTTTAGATCCAACGGAATATGCCAATAAGATACTAGAACTCACTGAGCGCTCAGTGAGCGGTTGTGTTTCTGAATGCATCCAATGATTGCGTACCACAAACTCAATAGTTGAGTTAGCACTCGCTGCTATTGATTTATTCTTCTAGATCTAAATTGCTGATTGGATGATCTAAAAGAATATCCCACTAATCAACTGTTGAGTCTTCTAAACGCAACCAATGGTCACATTCAGTAGACTCAACTGTTATGGATCCGTAAACGCTCGCTGCTATTAGAATATTCTTCCAGATCATCTAGACTATTAGATTGATAATTCAATCATTCATTTAATTGCACTTGTTTTTAAAAAATAATAAGTTCACAATGCTCGACATTAAGTGCTTGATGCTCTTATGTAATGACATCTTTAGGGAGCGTTTAGATTGGCCGTAATTATATCCCGTAATCTATTAAAACTTGATCAATCACTTTCGAGTATTCTTTTCGTACTATTGAATGAGAGAGGAATACTTAACTGTAATTAGTCAATTCTTAGGCTATATCCATACAAACTTGCATAGCTGCATAAACGTATGCATAAAGAAAATTATCCAATCGCATTTCTTCTATAAAAACGCACATAAATGTGATTGGATAATTTTTTTTATTCAAAATGCAAGCTATCGCAACAAACTTACAATTGATTTGCAACTAATGTAGAACCGATTTAAAACGGAAGACACAAACTCTTGTATAACGTATAACACGTAATGCATAAAAAATTGAACCAATCAGAGTCCTTCATTTCCTCCCATTCCAAATGAAATAAAGAACGCTGATTGGTGGAATTTCTTATATTTTATGTATTCTGCGTTATGCAAGAGTTTGCGCTTCCGGCTTAAGCATCAAGCATCATAATATGCACAATCACAGTGACATAATGGGTATATTCTGAATGACAACTGCTTACTAAGCGTTCAGTGAGAGTTGTATCATTTGATTATCATATTCCATTAGATCCTAAAATATAGACTAATCAGATGAAAGAACTCGCGATTGGTTCTTATTTATGGATTTAATCATTGGGCGCATTTAGCAGACTCAACAATTGAGTGCTCGCTATTGATGTATTCTTCTACATCTAAAATTCTGATTAGATGAGCAAAAAAATACATCAATTATAATAAGTGCTTACTCAATTGTTGGGTCCAATAAATGCGCTCATTAGGTGCATTCTGAACGACAATCATTCATTGAGCACTCTTTTATCTGATAGGCATACAGTAGTTTTTACATAATAAAAGGAACAGAGAAATACAGAGACTCTTCTACAATAGAAATCGCAAATCGTAAACCGTAAGAAATTGTCCAGTCACAATTAAGTATGAAAAGAATAATCGACTATGATTGGTTAATTTCTTACCGCTTGCCATTTACGACTTTATTGTAGAACAGACTTAAGAATTTCAACCTATCAGAAATTGTGCATTTCACAATATATAATTTCTTAGGTTGAAATTTTTATTTTGTTCTCTATTTTTTGTTCCTTTTATTATATGGAGTCTCTTTCTCTAAATTTGGCTCCTTGGGGCGATAAGAGTAGAATGCCAAAATTACAGAGTATCTTCTTTACAGCACAAGTCTGCCAATCATCACGTATTGCACGAACGCAGTTGCGCACGCTAACCTATCAAAGTGTACTATAATATATATAACTTTAGCAGAACAAGTTATATGTATATATGTATAACATTTTATGTATCACAAAAGAATACATTACACAAATAATTATATACAACCTGCCTATGGAATTATGTACTCTGTGAGAACTTACTATAATTAGATACAGATGTGCGTGCGATATATGTCCAACCTATCATGAAATAGAAGAGCACTACATTGAGTGTTTTCCATTTAATGACGTAAGTCGACACAAATTGACTCAAGCGTCGTTCTATTCTTCTTGACATTCAGAGAGTGACAAAGATAGAACAATGATTATGTATCGACTTGTGTCATTAAATGAAAAGCATCTATTAGTGTTTGCAAAAATACATGTGAGAAATGCAAAAATTATAAAAGTCAAATTTAGAGAGGTTTTACTATATTCCGTTAGATTCTAAAATATAACCAATCAAATAAAAAAAGTTTAGTGAGCGGTTATTATTCTGAATGCATTCATTAAATGCATTTAGTACTAAGACCTCTCACTGAGCATTCTTGTATCTGTTTAGACTATATTTTTAATTCTAAGGAATAAGCCAATCAGATACAAGAACTCACTGAACGCTCAGTGAGTGATTGTAGTACTGAACCCATTCAATTGTTCTATGAGCAAAGTTGAGTTCCGAAACCCATCCATTCCGAAAAAAAAGCAATCTTTCTGTGACCGGCTGTACTATATGTGCACAATAAGTATATTGCATACTGCGCATGCTTTTTATATATTTTTAACTAATTGCAAGAACTTTGGACCACCTGACCTGCCTGCATCTTTCTTTTATTCGTAACGATATTTTTATTCTGCGTATCTACTGCTCGCACGCAACATAAAGATAACATTAAGGTGCATTTATATGCAAGCGTCAAACATCAAGCAGCAGAAGCAGCAACTAATCGATGAGGCGATTTTTATAGTGGCGTAAAAGATATTTTTACACTGCGTATCGCTCAGCTGATTGGTTGCTTGACGCTTGCATGTGAATGTACCTTTAAATATTTTTAAATGTTTTCACGTGCAGAAGCCATTAGGATTTTTCAGGTAAAGTTTCTGAACACATCATTACATATATATGCGCAATAGACTATTGCGCAGCAACTGTGCAACAGACATCATCGATACTAGCGCACTCTATAATAAATTTTCTTTGTTTGGATTAAGGTCTGTTTAGATGCAACTTGGTCACATGACATATCAAATTGACCAATCATATATCTGATATGGTAGACGCCATATTACTTTTCTTGTAAAATGCCAAGTCATTGTTGCATTGAGCACATTCGTTTCAACAGGCCTTTAGCTACTTCTGTTCTTCTTTTTTCTCAACTGTCATATACGACCTAAGATTTCTAGTGTTTTCTTATGTGTGGGTACCATTCCCGAAAATAAAATTTCCCTAACGATGGACCAATAACAATGCACATACGGACATTAATAATATTCCAATCTTTGTATTCGGTTATCGTATGGACAAAAGTATCGTAAATTTTCTATGTGAAGTACTTTTAGAGCCTTCATTTTCTTTTCTGTCATCATAAAAACGGAAACTAAAGACCAGTTCAGACCAATTTTCTGTCGATCAAGCATCACTTGTCATTGAGATGTGAACTTTTGTGTACTTTCATGCATATCTTCTGAACGAATCATCTACGAGGCCAACGAATAATTAGAAGCAAGGCAAGTAGAAAAGCTGCCTTTCTTCTTTTGGAAATAGAGTTCGGCGCGCTCATGGATTCCATAAAGTTACTATTTCCAAGAGACCGAAAATGCGTGTTTGCGCACGGACTCTTTTCTTGAACATTTCGCGAATTACGCACGGTTATACTAAACATCAAATGTTTTTTTTGATTTGATGAAGATGTTTAATAGAACGTCATTGTATAGATTATGGATGATTATCCATCGAGAATATATTGTTTTTCGTGATCGGTATGTATATGTTACTATCAATATGTCGGTGTTTGACAGGAAGTTCGGGATATTTCGGGAGGCATTGAGTTACGAGTGCGAATTTATTTGGCGGTAGCACTTGTCCACAATTCGCTATTTCGAACGAGACACCTGATGGAAATGGAAGTCATCTGTATTTCATCCGATGACGAATCAGACTCGCAAAAGGTTTGACAGAGTTCTGTAAAAGTTCTATAAGAATTCTATAAATTAGTAAAGCTGTTAAGTGCAGATATAAATTTTTTGAAATTTCTGGCGACTAGCTGACTTGGGCTAAATATATTTTTTTTAACATACCTGGTTTTATTTACTGAATTCGACTACTGGTTACTATTGGCCAAATCGGTTCATATCTAGGGGACTGAGGGCAATAAAAAAAGTAAGAAAAAATGAAACTTTATTCAAATTTCTCTAATAAAATGTCTGCATTGATCTCTTTAAATTTTATTTTATGAGAATGACAGCTTACTATAAATAAAAATAAATAAATAAATAATAAATTTATCTCCTTAAAAATGCTGATTCTAAAGAATTTTATTATTTCAGGAAAACAAAACGGATAAAGTTCTAATGAAATCTGAGATTAGTAACGGAGCCATTGCTCATGAAGAAACAGAAATTTTACTCAATGTTAATGAGAAAATTGAAGAGAAGAATTTAAAACGAAAAATAATGTATACAAAGAAAGAAATAAATTGTATTGAAGAAAAAAGGAAAAAGTTAGATGTTCATCAGGATAAAGTGGAAAGTAAATCTGATATATGTTCTGTAGATGTTTTACCTGAGATATATCTTGTTGAATCTAATTGTAATGAACAGCCAAATAAAGACCAGGAAATAAAGACACAATTGATTGTGAAGGAAAAGAAAAAGATATCGTATATCTCACAGGACGTTTTTCCCCTATTTATAAGTTTATGTCTACAAAAATGTCCAAAACAGGATAAATCGGAAATGGCCATTATTGTTGATAAGTTAAAAAGACGTTATGAAAATTTAGATCTAATTTATGCTAGATCAAATAATTTTGTTACATTTTTAAATGAAAAACGCAAAGCTATTACGAATAACAACAAAAAAATATACATACACATACAGGAAGTGATGAATGAGATGAAGAAAAGGACTAAAAAGAAATCTCAAATTAATGAGATCTACGATGCAGTTCCTTCTACTTCCTATGCTACGAGCAATGTACCTATTAATGCAGTAGAATCAGATAATGATAACGATAGTGAGGATGAAGATAACGAAGAGAACCTTGAAACAAGAAGAAAAGTTAAGGAAATATTGCACGCTATGAAAAGATGTGACACAATTATTAAGAAGCTCGATGAAGAAGAAGTTGATTTTGATGAGGAAAATAATAGTAATTATATGAAAGTCGAAAAGTATAAACAGAAAATGACACAACTATATGATAAACTTTGTGAGCTAACAGGAGAAAATGCTGATGCAGGACGTACATATTTGCGTCCTAAACATTTAAATGTAACTCGGATTGTTGCTGTGGATCAAGCAATAACGAATTTTATTAATTGTAAAATTACTCAACGAAATCGGTTGAAAAAAAAAGGAAATCTTACAGATAATTTAATATTCCCTGATTACAGTGACATCTTGGAATGCGTCAATAGATGTAATGAAAAAAAAAAATTAGGTTTAAAACAAAAAAAGCGAGAACGAATAGGTAAGAAATACGTATCACATCCAGCACAAAATTTGCAGCAATATCACTGCAAAATTGCTGCCATATTGCAGCAGTGTTGCAGGCGAGCTTTTGTGCAACTTTGTGCTGTAAGGGTAGTTTTAAGTTTATAAGAATTTTTATTTGTATAATATATTTACTGTGCATTTAATCATTTATGTATATTATATGTATATTATATGTATGTTATATGTATGTTATATATTATTATAATATATGATACTTTTATTTATAATAATAATTGTTATTGCAGCAGAGAAAGCTTTCAAAGAACTTGGAGAATACTTGCAACGCTCGAGGCGTAATGATTATTGGGATACTTTTTCTTTGTATCTTGAAAATTCAGAAGATCCAGCTACAAAAGATAAAAATTTAGCTAAAAAACTTGCTGACAATCGTATCGAGAGTGAAAAACGATTAGCTGCAGTATTTGAAAAATATACAAAAAAACAAATGGAACTAAGAGACCAAAATAATGAAGAAATAATTTCGGAAGAGGAAGAGGAAGAGGAGGAAGATGAAGATGAAGAAGTAGAAATAGAAATAGAAAATATTACATATGAGGATAAGAGTGATATCTTGTCTGCATCAAGTGAGGAAGATAATGAGGAAGAAAAAAATCCAAATAAAACAATTAAAATAAATAAATTATCTGTGAAAATGAATAAACCCAATATAAATATGATAAATATACATCATTCTATGGATATTTCAAATAAAACTATAGCAGATATCTCACCAGAAAAATATAACAAAACAATTGAAATAAAAGTTGAAAAAGAGAGTAATATGACAGTATCAAATAAGAATAAGACAATTAGTGAGAAAATAGTTCAGAAACCATGCAGTAGCAGCACTATTCCAAGAAACGTAACAGATTTGGATAAATCATGTAGTAGTAACACCATTCCAAGGAATGTTGTGATAGATAAACCATATAGTAGCAATATTAGTTCAAGGAATATGACAGATGTGGACAAATCATGCAGTAGCAACACTATTCCAAGGAACGTTGTGACAGATGTGGATAAACCATGCAGTAGCAACACTATTCCAAGGAATGTTGTGACAAATATAGATAAACCATGTAGCAGTACTATTCCAAGGAACGTTGTGACAGATGTGGATAAACCATGCAGTAGCAGTACTATTCTAAGGAACGTTGTGACAAATGTGGATATCATTAGCAAGAAAATAGATCACAAACCATGTAGTAGTAGCAGCATTATCCCAAGGAACAATGTGAAAAATGTTGTGGATACTACTAGCGAGAAGGTTCATAAACCATGCAACACTAGTAGCAACACTATTCCAAGGAACGATGTAAAAAATGTGGATACTACTAACGAAGTTCATAAATTATGCAGTGGCAACATTACTTCAAGGAACTTCACGAACGATGTGAAAAATGTTGTGGATAACGAAAGGCAAGAAGATTCGCTATCAGCGGCTTCTACATCAAATTACACAAGTAGTGTATACACATATATTAATAGAATTGGAGATACGTAAAATAAATAAATAAAAATAGAAGAATCATAAACATTATTTTATATGTTGTAGAGGATCTAGCAGAGGCCAAAGTGAAAGATGAATCCAAAGTTATAATAGATCCTGCAACAAAGAAGAATGTGGCAGCTATGGTAACCAGCATGGAAAACACAGCAGAAGTAGTAATGAAAAAAGTTATGAATGAAGCAATCGCGAATATGTCAAACAATAAGCAACCGGAAGATGAAAAGAAACCTCTACTGCGAGTGCGTTCATTCGCTAAATCTCCTAGGACTTGGCAAGATAACCAACATAAAACAGATAAGACCGCCCCAAAAAATGCGCCAAAGGTAGCAAATCAAATTAAAGAAATTGTTGATTTGACTAATGAAGGAACGGTTAAACCTATTGCTACCAAGTGTGCTGTACAACTTGGAAACAAAGTAGTTCCCATAGTGAAACGTCACGCAGTGTTTCTACCATCAAGTAGCAATATAATTAGTGTCAAAAATATTACGAATAATTATCTAAAAGTAAATACGCGAACAGGCCAAATTATAGCACCTGTGCATGATATTCGCACAAAAGGTACAATAATCCGACTGCCAGTTCAAACTACCAGTCAGAGTCAACTGCAAAACACGAATGTAACAAACGAAATATCTTTGAAAGGAAAAACGGTTTTAAAAATTGTACCTACGAAATCGATTATTTTACCTAAGCCTTCTGCAGTGCAATCCGTCTCCAAACAAGCGGATATAAGTTCATCGACAACACAATCCAAATGACTCAAATATATAATACGGGCTGTTCTTTTAGATCATTGTTATACAAAAGCGACAGCGATTCGATAAATTTATCAAGATTAATGTTTATAACTTTACATTTAATGATGTATATTGAATATTTCTAGTTTATAAGTCAAATATATAAAAAGATATAATAATATAATTCTTAATAAATCTTTGTAGCAAATTTAAGATGTATATTGCATTGAATACAAAGTGCCTTATAACAAATTCCATTAACTTTACTCATCTAATGAAGAATCACATCCGGCTGGAGACACTTTAATATTAACTTAGCAAGATGATAGTTCGGTTCCAGAAGTTTCTCTACTATATCAAAGTGGTCGATGTCCTGAAGTAATAGGTATTCCACATTATCCACGATAGAAATAAGTTTCTAAAACAATAATACAATGTTAGTTTGATACAAATTTGCACAGTTGTTCAATGTAGTTATTCAATAGGTTTGGTTTTTATTGCTGCACTAAAACTTGTTATTTTCACCAAATTTGAAACATGTTCATTTCATTTATAGTACAAGGAGTGTAATTTAGCTACAACAAAAAACAGATCTAATATTTAATAGTACCTGGGCATATTTACGCGATTCATCCATAAACGCTGGGGAATCACAATCACCTACGACTACGATAACTTTCAAGTTAGTGATACGATGGCCTGCTTCGTCAAAGGTAGAAATACTGAATTTCTTAATTTCTTCGCTGAAAACAATAATTTATGTATATTATAAGAAAGATTATTGTAAGAAAGATATGTTCATTATATATATTAAAAACAAGTATAGAGAGATATTCTGTATACAATTACTCGGTCAATTTAAGGGCAACTGCAAAACTGGTATTAGTTATAGGTTTTAAATTATAAATGCCACTTATCAGTATGATTTCCTTTAATATTGCAAAATATCCTTTCTTTGTCATGCGATTAATCCAATCGTCATCGTGTAATAAACATGCAGCCAAATGTGCTCCAGCACTATGTCCAGCAATGCACACGTATCTATATACATTATACATTTGTATTATAAGCAATTCGTTTTCTATTAAAATTTTGTACTTAATAGTTAAGGTGTAAAAACATACTTAGAGCCTGAATCAGCTGCATATTTTAATATCTGCGCGACCGCTGTTTTTATCTCTGCTACTATATCCCCAATTTTGACTGAAAAATATTAAAAAATAATTTTAATTAAATTATTTTATTATATGATAAGATGATCTTTTAATCTGAGACTTTTGAATATTATTTAGATATGTAAGTTTCGAAATTGTAAAATTTATTTCATAAACGTATTTCATCCTTTTAGCTATAACGCGCTTTAAAGAATTTTTGAAATTTAAAATTTTGTATGCATGTGCGTGCGCGCGCGCGCGTGTGTATTTGTGCGTGTATGTAGACGTAAATTAATAAATAATTAAAGACAAAGGAGATAAAAGAAATGATATAATTCAATAGAATTTTCTACTTACCATTCGGACACAAATCGTATCCAACTGTTATTACTTTGATCTTATTTTTAACAAACAAAGGTACCGAGAAGCTAGTAAGATCCTTGCTGAATTCTTGCCAATATCCACCATGGATAAATATAAATATCGGCGCATCTAAAATACACAACCATTTTAGTATGATATAAATACAAATATAAAATATACCAATTCGTTAGAAAATAATCTATAATTTAACATCTTGCAGATTGATGAAAGGAATGAGCAGATTATTATGGAATAAGATTGATGAAAGGAATGAGCAGATTATTATGGAATAAGAAAATATTAATATATTCGATAAAAATAATTTTCTTAACATATATTTTATATATTTTATTTCAATTTTAAACGAACCAAATTATACCCGTATATAAACTCATGTTTATGTAACGAAAGAATAAGCCAAACTAGATATAATTTGCAAATGAAAGTTTCACCTTGGAAATAAATTTTACGTAGTTTATCGAAAATTATTAATTATTATATTTCTTTTGTTTCTTTTTTCTTTCTTAGACTGTGTTCCAAATTTACTGCCAAAAATGCTACAGTTTACGTTACGTACTAGATTTTGCACTATAGATTTTATTGGCAGTCTTGGCAATTTTGGAACATAACCTTAGAAATACCTATAATTATGAAAATATAATAACATAAAATAAAAAATTGTAGAAATAATTTTTTATTGAAAATTAAGATATATTATTCTAGAAGTTTGGCATCAAAATTTCATGAAATCATTACATTTATATGCATACCTTTCGGTAAATCAACGCCATATATGTCATATTTTGCGCGCTCTGTAGGACCATATGGTACATTAAGTTCGCATTTAATAGTTTTCCGAGTCTCTTCCGTAACTGCAACAAAGACCTTCAGATGATCACATGATACATCTGACACATCTGATTTTTCTTGTGATGCATAATAATAGTATGAGCAGAAAAATCTTATCTTTTCTATTGGGAAAATTAGTACAATACTGCATACAAATTAACCTTTAACTCTTTTAATTACATATTCTATGTTATCATGATAACATATCATAACTAATTAAAGGATTAACGATTAAGAATTATTTATTAATACTGAAAATATGTAAACCGATTTGTATTAAATTATATCAATGTTGCATTAGTTTTCCTACTATTAAATAAAGCTCTCGAAGAGAGTTACGACTACCAAAATTATATAATTTTTTATTCTAGAAAAAAACAAATGTTACCTTCCTCGCAGAATTTAAAGAAATATGCTCGCAGCTCTTCAGAATTATATCGTTTGCTCCATTCACTTGGGGTGTACAATCGCTCATAGTCCTTTAGCACACATAAATCAAATAAAATATTAAATAAGCCGTAAATTTTAACCTATTGAGAGAAAAGCATGATTGCACAGAATTTTGTCGAGATTACATACGTGGAGAGACATCCTCGATTAATTACTTGATTCTGACAAGAAAATGATTAGGAGTAATCACTGGTTGTTACTCAAAGCAATGCCTGCTAGAAACTGTTGCGCAGTTTTCTTTAGTCAGGGTATATGGTATAAATTGTGTCGGCACTAAGTATATATACACGCCATAGTGCACTTTCTTGGCTTTGCTTGTTTAATGTATATTAGAATTTAATATATATTAGATTGTATATTAGAATGTATATTAGAATTTCAAGTATGCGTATCCTATTCCTATTCAAGTATGTGTATCGCTAAAGTGAGTGACAAATAATCCGACAATCATATATCAGTTTTATCAAGTTCTCGTATCGTTATCGACAGTATTCAAAGTTTACAAATTTTATTACAGTTCTGTCTCATGTCTTATTGATTGAAATATACATCAATTTTTATTGTATTAATCTAAACCGTTGTTTTGAAAACGTTTTGATTAAATAAAATAAGTAATTCTATCTTATTACGTAAGAAACATTTATATGTTCATAAAGTGTAGATTACGCGCTGCAAAATTGGGAAATAGTTATGTTAGCATTTCATCTGCTATTTTCACACATTTTATCTGAGGGATATCCTGAAACATTTTTATTAGAATGATGTAGGAGATTTTCTAAATATCTTTAGATTCCCCCTTAAAGATACTTTGAAGATCTGTGCTGCAGTATGATTCATGAAATGAGAAAAAATGAAATTAACAATTCAATAATAGCGTAATAAACATCAAACTTTTTGAAAATATTTAAATTTTCAATAAAAAAATATCCCACTGTTTTTTATTCCCTTCATTCCACAATTTTATATTTTTATAATTATGTTTACTTTAACTTTATATAAAAAAGTATTGTAAAAAATAAAATTCATATAATTATATAATATA